TTACTGTTGTATTTAATAAAGGAATGTCATAACACTAATACTAATAAAAGTACACACACACATAAATATATTATCAAACATTGACGCTTTTCATGAAAGTTTAAAATTTCTCCCCCACAAAACCTACCTCTTGGCTAATAACTGTGCTACTTAAGGGCCTCAGTAAACTGCGGGAACCAGACAGGATCTATAATTCAACAGAAAAGAATTTACTCAATAATGACAACTCTCACCTAATGTTAAATCAGGTCAATCACAAATATGTTCACATATTTTACTTGAGTACCTTCAACCATACAAGTCAAACAATTTGTAAGTTTACCTTAAGTCAAGCTGAAAGTGTTTGGGGACATGAATTTTGGTCTTTATCATATGCCACATCCTCAAAAAATATGCTCTAAATTACAATCCAAGAAAAATACTACCATTTCATGTTGATTTTGTGTGTGCTGGGAGAGAATGGAATCAACACTGACTAAATATCCATCTCATACCTGTAAGAATACTTAAGTGTTACAAGTCATGCAAGAGTGTGTCTACTAGCCTTTCACGAGTTCTGCTATTTCCTGTTCACGTTTAAATCTTTGTTAACAAATAATCGAAAACCACAAAATGCACTGAAGAGTAACAATTTTGATTAACATTGTTAACATTTTCCTTACCTGAAAATGTTTTTCAGATAAGATACTTAACTCTCTTCATCACTAAGAGCTATTACCTTGCATGCAACTGGCATTGAATTTCCTACACATGTCACAAGCCTTGAACAAATTCCCACCCCCTACACATGTCCATGTGTATTGAGTATGATGTAATTGTTATAACGCTATAGCCCTCCACCTATAGGAGGGTGCCGTGACCTCCAATGCAGTAATCCTTGTGAACACTAGCACAGGATCATAAGCGCATTCTTGACGAGGCAAATGAAATTCACCAGAAGTATTAAAGAAGGGTGGGAGGTGGTGCAGAGAGTTAAGTATCTATCTGAAATACACTTTCAGATTAAGAAGATCTTAACCTCAGAAACATTACCTACCTCTCTGCACCAATAAAAGCTAGAATCCCACACTGAAGATGGTGGAAGAATGAGTGCTTATCTATTTACACAGAGAAACTCCATTCTGAAATAGCAAGAGAATGGGAAAGGCCATAAGGTATGGCTTCCACTCAACAGGGGGTTGCCTAATGTAGCAGCACCTGATTGAAGACTGCATACTTCTCAAGCAGAGAATATTCTTCATCCATTAGTTTTGATTTTCTAGTATAGAGATAATACAGCAAAGGATATGAAAAAAATCCAGTACTAGTGGTCAAAAGTCACAAAGGTGGGCAGAACGTCAGAAAGGGAAAAGTGTTTAGGGCTGTAGGCTATTCTGTCTTCGTCAAATACTTACAAGATACCTTTTATAACAACAGGTGGAATCAGGAGGAGCTCTCAATTACATCCTGAGGGAAAAATCCAAGTCCCAAAGCACCAGGTGTAGTCCTGCCCTTAAACCTGGCTTGTTCTTGCTATCTTTAGTCCTAGTAACCCATTGCACTGTCTCTTGGTGGGAACTCAATTCCAGATGAAACATGGGAGAACTCTTATTCCCCAATCCTTGCAAGTAGTGCATTCCCTCCCAATAAGATACTGGTTGGGCCCACCCCTAGTTTGAAATGTAGATCTGAGGTATTTTCTGGTAGTGTTTTACAGGACACCACATTACAATATCTCCCAAGAAGTTCCCAGTAGATATGTACAGCCAGATGTACTTATTATTTTTTTGTAAAGGGTACAGAAACATCTAGTGTTATGTGGAATTGAGTGAGCAATCATGACCTAGAAAGATGAAAAGAAGACAGTGTATCTCCAAAAATATCAGTATTTACAGACCAGAAACCACTGAAATGAACATGTATGGGCACATCCAATAGAAATAAGAATAAAGTGTCCAAAAAAAAACTCGTGCAGGAAATGAAAGAGACATGAAAGCCCTGGTATCAAAAGTTTAATGTCACAAAGAACCAGGCTGAACCTGGCCAGCATATGGAGTAAAAAGAGACCCCCCAAGCGAATGAAATAGAGGATGGAAGTTGAGACAAATATGGAAAGCCAACCTACCCACCACAAACAAGACGTACATTTGGGGTAAATAATAAGACACATTCAAAATGTACAAAGTTGATTAAAAGAAAATCAAATTAAATATCATTGGAATTAAAGTTCTTACTGATAAGGTTAAAATTTGGTAAAGTTCTTTCATATAATCGAGACAATTAAAGAAAGACTGCATGACAAATATTAAAAAATAGTTAAAACAATAAGTACCAAAATCTTATGAAAAAAAAAAAAACTTGACTGAAGAAAAGTAGTTCTGAACGAGTCTATGTTCAATTCTAGTACACACAGATATGGCTGTGCATGGAAGATGCATCACCCTCCTATTGGCAGAGGGATATAGTCTAATGATGATTACATCATAGGCTGACACAGACTTGAAAAGGCTTCTAAGAAGCAGATGATTTCACAAAACAGTGTATGTGAGGTAACAGCTTTTTATGATGCAGAAAGGTGAGTACATTTCTAAATTGTTAGTGCTAACAAATACATTTTATGTTTCATTCTTATCCTACCATAACATTTCTCTTACATCTTGTACACTAGATATTCATTACATTTTCTAGAAGCAATGTAGCCACTAAATGTAACCCCTCTGTGCTTCACCATATTGGTCTGCTCCGATGCATGGAAGACGCTGCTACCAATAACTTTTCATGGTGCGTATGTTTTATAATACAACTTTTGTTTAAGTAATGAGCAAAATATAATTAAAAAGATTGAATTTTTCATGTGAGTGACATTTAACATGTGATTACCATTGAAACATTGTTAAACAGTTTCTGTTAACAAGATAAAAAATCCAACATTGTTTGGTTATTGCCTAATGAACCTTTGAATGTTTATAACTACTTCTGAATTGCTGGGAGCAAATGAACCTTCAAACACAGTCCTGTAAATTAGTACATTCATTATACACTTGTGTTAGAGGTAATCCATAACTATGCATATGAATTACTGGCACTAACATACAATATTATGGGAAAAAACTTTAATTTTGGCTCAACCTTGTAGTATTATAGCATTAAATATTAGAGAAATATTAAAAATAATGAAGTATAAAAAACAAAAAGAAGTATTAAATAGAGACGAAGGACCATCAAGTCAATATGTTGATATACGGAAGGACCAGCAAGTCTATATGTTGACATATGGTGAGATATAATAATTGTAAAAAATAAATTTTTATCTTCTAAAAGTAGATCAAGGAAATATGTAAATAATAGTGAAGCATTGTGAAAAGGGGTAAAACTATAAAGCATAGCTTGTAAGTAACTCCTGAAGATGGCATAGATCATGTCGAAACTAGTACTTTTAAGAGTGTTGTTTTAAAGTGGAAGCCGTACGGCTTCAATAAAGTTTTAATTGTGTAAATAGTAAATGTGGTTTTTAATTATTTATTATAATTTTAAAGTCATCCATAATAGTCATCACTTTAACAAGTGTACAAAACACTTTTTCACAGCCATCTTATCCAAGTGCACATAAGGCAATATTTTTTGTGGTTTGAACAAACCTCAACATCCACATATTAACAAGTAAAACTACAATCTATGGCAAAGTACTTCATCAAATTATACATAGAACTTTTTAATGCTACTAACATTAAATAATACACAAAATGCACAATCATTTCATAGAAACAAACATAAGGTAACACATGTACTTTGATTTCAACATATATATATATATATACATAACAATAATACAAAGAATATCAAGAAAAAGATCACCATGAACATTATGTAGCTACAACATATCTCTATTGTAGAGAGTATACTCCATTGAGCTTATACATTTTTAGATGTATAAGCAGTTCCAAGCATAGGGTGAACATGGTTCCAAAAAGGCTTAGTGATCAGAGAAATTTATAAACTCCCGTATTTAACATCAAAATTGTTTCATTTACTAAAGTGTGTGAACTATTATTAAGAAATTAATTCTCTGTTTTGGCACACACACACCGTACATTTATAACATTTGTGAAAATGAGGGCTATTATAGATGATACCCTAAAATTTTTAAAGGTGACTATCATATGGTTGAATATTTGATTTGTAAAATGAGAAAGAATATCTTTTTGGAGTAAACAATACATGATAATGAAAAAATATGAGGTTAACCTATTTGTATGAAAAAAATCAAAAATTGAAAAACTCACCATTGCCCTGGTCAAAGGGCAGGCATACTGAGCACAGGCATACATAATGACTTGTTGAGCTTTAACCAACAATCGAAACAAAAACCTTAAAAAAAAACACAAACATATGTGAAATTCTTGAAGAATCTTATGTAATCATACTCCTTCATTCAAATAGCTAATTTACATTTGTGGCTATTTCTAAATACATACACATTCTTATACTTAGAAAAAATTAATACTGAAAAGTAAAGGTTTTTGAAAATATTCCAATTTTTAGATGTATTGTAAAGCATTTAAATTTACAGAATGTAAATTCTAATGCATACAAGTTAAATGGACTACATACTTTGGCTATGGGTTAGAAGTGGGCAAGTAGTGGAACTTCACAATCAATTGTTGGGCTCATTAATCAATTACATACAACTGAATGATTATTCTCATATGAGATGTGGATAGTCAGAATAATCAAAAACAGTAATAATGAAAAACACTAATTTGATTTACATGATTACTTTTATGACATTAACATGCTCATACATAATTGATTATATTCATCAATTGCCCAGCATTACTACACATTTTCACCTACTATAAAATTATCCAGGCTTTCAACATTTTATTTCAATCTAAATCCTTCAGAAAAATTCTCAGAAGTAATTTCATGTGGATAAGCCATGGCTTATGAGTAAGTACGCAAAAGTTAAAAACGAATTAAGAGTAATTTGTGATTATAAACATGTTTTAAGGTTCAGGTTACCTCAAAATGAGAAATAAATTACATTTGAGTGACACGTTTGAAACACAAATCTAACTTCTAAGCATTTGGTTAAGGTAAAACAAACTAACAGTTGTGAAAATTATATAAGAATATTGTGTGCAATTCTGGAATCCTTATTGCACGAAAAATATTGATACATAAAGATAAAAGAGAGAAACTTGTACAACAAATTCATCCTCAAACTGACAGTATTAGTTATAAAAGGTATCTTATAAATTTGCTCTTCTTGTTTTGTAAAAGAAATATTAATGAGTTGGTTCAAATTTTAAACATTGTTTGTTGAAAATAAGGTAGAATCTAGATGCTTTTTTCACAAAAATCACTTAAAAGTTTATTCCTTAATTGAACAGATGGCATTAATGACATAAAGTGTTACCATGTAAGGCAAAGTATATAGTAACTCGTTTTGTACGATATGTGTACATTTTCTCAATGATTCCATTTCTTTATGTGCTGATCTCAGCTTGTTCAACAAAATCATTTCCTACCAATCAACTTTCAATTAACGATCAAATGTATTCCAAGGAGATCATCTTTCTGAACTGCCTTCTTTAAAATACAGTGCAGTTTGAGTACCCTTCCCGTAGGAAGAACAAATGTGAAAGTGTTTAACATCAGAGTACTACATGAGTACCTAATTTCAGAAACTGAAGCTACAAAAAATTGCTTAAAAGATTTGGACATTTTTCTAATAAGGACTAAAGGTAACTTGGGTGTGCGCATAAGTAGACAGAGCTTTGGATAATCTGCCTATGGATAGTTTGTTTCAGTGATCTATGAAAAGGTTCAAAAATACAAAGATAGAAATTCACATCTAGATTTCTTCTTTGGTAAAATTAATTCTGTTGTTTAGAAACTTGTACAATGGTTAGCCTAGTGAGGGCATGTGTGTGTGTTAGTGATTATATTGCAAGTAATGTTTATATTTAAAGTTAATTTTCAGTTAATAATTACAATATTCCAGCACAATCTAACAATTAACAATCAGTTAACTCGAAATTATTTCTTGGGTAAAAAAAACATTTCTGGTTTCTAAAGCTTTTATTATTTTGTATTATTTGCCATGTTTTGTTTGCAACCTTGAACAAAAGAAAATCTGCAACATCATATAAAATTCTGAGTACATTTAAGGTTCAATCTCTTGGTTTGAGAAATGTAATGAAAGTCCCAACATTTTGCTTTGGCATTGATGAAAAGACTTCCTAAAGAGAGATTACTTTTCCATTTTGGCATCAATTTTCACTGTAAGAATGGTTTTAAACCTGTTCATGACATCTGGGACACTTTTGGCAAAATTATTGAACATTTTGCCAATAAAGTTAAAAAAACAAACTTCACCCTCTTTATTTCAGCTAATGTTTTGTCATTGCAGCTTTATTGGGGCTAGTAGTATAAGAACTTTTGGACATTCTCTCAGTGTACATTGACTACTTTAGCACTGAAAATAGATCTATTGGTAAATTACTATGCTAAAGACAACACAGTTCCACCAAAATCTTGACACAAACAGTGGTAAAGAATTAATTTCAAATGAAAATTTCTCTGCAAGAGACAAACGAATGAACACAAAAGTTGTATTGTTCAAAAACAATAATACTATTCTTGAAAGGCTTGTTGTTTTTGTTTTTTTATCATTTGCCAGATACCATGACGACCAAACTTACCACTATCTTCTGTACAATCAAGTCCAAATTTTAGTGTTGACAGTGAAATTTCAACCACCACTGGTATTAATCTACTGATTCATAGGGACCCAACCAACCACTTGATAAAAAAATGTGGTCCCCTTTACTTTTTTTTATACAAAACATAAAACATTAAAATTTTTAATTTTCTCATTCATTACTTGCTACCTTAGTAATATTTGAACATCATCTACATTATGTTGGCTTGCTCATGATGTTTTCTTTTTGTAATACAAAGTGTACAACTTTGAAGAAAGATTGTGCTGCATTGAAGTCAAATTTCTATGGTGAATTACTTAAAATTTGGACAGACCATTTCCACCCACATCACTAAAGGAAATAATATGCATAAATGTTGTGGTGTTAACATCAAGCAAAATTCAGAAATTACTAAATCTAAACAGAAATGGGAACTCGCTCGACAGCGAGATTGAAATAAATTATCTTGGCATAGCAGTGGATAAGTCACTCAAGCTATAAAGGCAGTGTTCTTTTACTAGTAGTAAAGCTGACAGAATTTTACAGTTTATAATTTATCCAGACATATCAATTGCAATTCAAAGATATATCATTTTCTCACTAAACAAATCACAAGTTAGACCTAACCTAGAATACTCTATAGTATTGGTCTCATTATCTAAGAAAGGATATTAACTTACTGGAAAGAGTGAAGGGGAATACTAGGATAATTCGGTGGATGGAAGGTGATCTTAGTGGGTTTGTTTGTTTGTTTTGAATTTCACACAAAGCTACACGAGGGCTACCTGTGCTAGCCGTCCCTAATTTAGCAGTGTAAGACTAGAGGGAAGGCAGCTAGTCGTCATCACCCACCGCCAACTCTTGGGCTACTCTTTTACCAACGAATAGTGGGATTGTTCGTCACATTATAACACTCCCACCGCTGAAAGGGCAAGCATGTTTGGTGAGACTGGGATTCGAACCCGCGACCCTCAGATTGAGAGTCAAACTCCCTAACCACCTGGCCATGCCGGGCCGATCTTAGTGGGATAGTTTAAGAAGGAACTTATTTTATGTATTTTTTAGAACAGGGTAAGAGGTGATCTTATTGAAGTTAACATGATCATCCAGCATATCGATGGGATAATGTCATACAATTTCTTTGTGGTACATTCTGTAAATAACAGTAACAGTACACTAAGGTTTAAATAAATTTTAAACTGAAAGATAGGATAAGTTCCATTTAAAGTAGTTTTATTTTTATTATGATGAACTTCCATCAGCAGTAGTAAAGGCCGAATGAATTTAAAACTTCTATTTTTTCCAGGATAGGTGTGCAACAACGAACAGAACTTTGAAATTGATTTGAAGTTATGCCAGCTCAAGTTTTAAATTATCAAACTTGAATCCTACAAGTTAATACACACGATTTTATCCAATAAACTCTACTCGTACCAGTAAATAGAAGCCATACAAATGTGCCAAGCCCAAGCAACACCTATGCCTAAATAGTAAACTAATAACTGTAAAGCTAACAATTCACGAAAACTTAAAATATAGTGAACTGTTAGTGTTAGTAACACTACACAGTATGGCGTACAATCTACAAATGACCTTCAATGAAAAGTTTAAACAAAGAAAAATCACTACAGACGGAATACAAAATAGTCAAACACAATATATCTTAAAAATTGGTGGCAGTAAAAGAAATATTATTTTTATAAATATTTCATTATTCACCGCTACGATGCACAAGATTTTCATACCAATGTACGACTATTCCTCCTACCAAACCCACAGAACCAGAATTCAGATCACACCTACACGAGAATTTACGATAGTTCTTCCAACCCTTATATTAACTGTAGTGTAATGTTTTTACGAACCGAGCGCTTTCAGAATTTTATTGCAATATAACTCGAGTAAGAAAAAATAGTTTTAGAAATGCTATATTAAATCTCATTCTTAAATTCAAGCCAATTAATTGTTTTCTCACTGTTTTTATCAATGGAATTTATTAATAATCATACAAAGAATTATAAAACCAGTGTCAGTAAATTATACTGCATTAAATATAGATAGATAGATAGATGCACTTTATTACATCGAATTCCACTTAACCTGTGCTTCAACTGGCTTATTTCATATCAGCCAGAAAACCTTAAAATCGTCTTGTACAATGCCGTAGCAAGACTCCCACAACCCTGGGCTCAGAAAAAGATTGCGAGCCCTTCTGGAAATATAACATAAAACAATTACAAATACACAGAAAAAGGAAGCTAAATAATCTTACCTTGTTCCTGAGTGATATTCTAAAGTACATCTATTACTTTAGTGCATTTTAATATATATAAAGTTTACTTGCTTTGCGTAACTGTCAATAAACTCCCTTGTGTCCAAACTTTTTGTTCTACAGAAAGTGCTGCAAGTCCACTGAGATGGATTTGTGATATTGAACTTTTAAAGTGATGTTTTATAAACTTTAACTTTGAAGATGATCTCCCAGCTATTGCTAATGTCACCGATATTGAGAGAAACAACAAACTTGTGCGAACATTCGGAAATGTTGATGAAAGAACATAATTATCTAAAATTAGCATTTTGGCAATGTCATTTATTGTACTTAGTTTAGGAAGTTCCGATTTCAGGTAAAGAGGGTGAAAGGTCAATTTGATATATTTCAGCCAGGTCTCTTACAGCGTTTTAAGGTCTTTGACCGACAATGCCGTTAATGTTGATCGTAGCATGGGATAAAAAAAGTATCAGAACTCCATTCAACCTTAAAACAAACTCCGGATGAGTTAATCTTTGGAGTTTGGTCGATGAAAAGTCTTTTTCCAAATTACGCTTCAATTTTGGCTCTCGTTTTTCTAAAAACTTAGTTTCAACTCCCCAATGCTCATTTATGGTAACCAAAATTATCATTACACCGAATTCATTTCTGAACTTTGCAGTCTTATTGTAAGCATTTTCAATGGATTCACTTTCTTTATTTAGATCCGGAAACAGTGTTTAATAAATATTAGAGACAGTGTCTATAGAAAGCAAGATTTTAGTTTGAAGCACAATAAGAAACACTCTTTTGGAATGACTGTAAATGTTTCAACAGCAGCAAGCTACCAGCCATGGGCGTACGCAAACAATTTTCCAGGGAGGGCAAAGTAGTGTGAAATTGTGAATTGAATAAAAAATTTCATATGCACATGCTTAATGAATAAAGAAATAATTATGTTTCTCATTTTCCGGGAGGTTCAAGTGCCCCTCCTGCTCCCCTCCACCCCTGCAGCCGCCCATGTTTCCAACTTCGTTACGTTCCTCACAATTATTACTCGGCATAATAATATTTGACAGAAATTTCATAATATCAGCATAATTATAATGCAATGCCACCAAACAATTGTTATGATAACCATATTATAGGTCCCCAAGTGGCACAGCGGTATGTCTGCGGCCTAACAATGCTAAAAACCGGGTTTCGATACCCGTGGTGAGCAGAGCACAGATAGCACATTGTGTAACTTTGTGCTTAATTCCAAACAAACCACATTATAGTACAGAAATTTTTACGTTTTACGTTAGGCTGGTCAATTTTTGATAACATTGCCCATCTTTTTGTGCTATATCCGAAAAACATATAGTTTTAAAAAGTTCAAAAAAGGTTTGTTCTTTTTGTAATTCGCTTTATTGAATCATTGAAAACTAAATTTAAATTGTGAGAGGCACATTGAACATATTTAGCATTTGGAAAATTTTCAAGTATCCGTACTTGAACTCCTATGTATACACCAGCCATTTTAGCCACTCCACCATACCCTTGGCCTGGTAGCTTTGGAATGTCAAGGTCTCTTTCTTCTGAGTACTGTTACGCATTGCGAATTTGAAATAGTCCGAAATAGTAGTTAGTAGTTACTGGCAGTTATTTAGATTTAAAAATAATTATTTCCGAAGAAATAATTATTAATCTGGGGTGCTCGAAGATTGAACAATCCTCCTTCACCCCGCTCGTGTCTAGAAATATGGGCTTAACTTGAGAAATGGGAAATTAATGCGGACTAGATATGTAATTTTAAAAAGATCAAGAGAGAGTAATTATATACAATAAAAAGTGAAGAGCAAACTAAACTACTAAACGGCCGATATCGGACAGATGGTCCATCAGAGCGGCGGGGATCTAAAAATCCTTTGCCGAGAATTTAATGTGGGGGAAACGGAAGTACCCCGAGAAAACCCACTTTCACTGGTAACGACTGATCCGTTATCAGCGTTCTATTAATGGGAAGAAGTAAGTAGCAAGTAGGGAAGGCAAAGTGAAGGCCGGTGCTAGGGGGTTGATTAATTTTAGAAATTGTTGTGTAGTCTCTTGGAGTTTATCGTGGATTTGAATTTAAATTGGCATAATTTCTGGTTCCGGGCAGGTGGTAAAGGCGTGGGGTTCTCAGTGTCGTTGGTGAGAGAGCGGAAGACTGAGAAAGGTTCGTCGGGTAGGTAGAAATCGGGGGAGGTGTCGATAACTAGGGCGTTCGGTAAGTTAGATGTCGATGATGAAGAAAGTGGCTTGGGGCTGGGAAGCGTGATAGATAGTCCGTGATAGTTCGAAACCAATATTTTAGTTAACTTGTGCTATTTGCCAACAAGATTGATACACACCGTTTTCGTTTTTAGTTTTTATATATATATACAACACTATAATTTACAATAACAATTATTATGACTAGTTACTACAAGCAAAGTTTCATAAACAAAGATTTCACTAACTTTCAAACAATATTTAAATATTCCTTCTAGATTGGAATTCCTTTGATATTTAGCGAGGTAACTTCAAGTCTCATTCGTCACCACACTGAATTGTTGGTCTGTTGAAGTAAGATAATATTTTCATAAAACTACTAATATCCGATGAAAATCCAGTAATATTTTCGGAAAGATATTAACGTCCAATGAGGATCCACTGATGTTCGAAATTTATAACTCTACCTGTTCAAATGTCTTAATTTTTTCGATTGATGAGTGTTATAAAAAGCTTTCGGAGTTTGTAGCACACTGGACGACTAATAGGCTCTCTCTTTTGGCGCGTCGCGTTGACTGTTTTTATAGGCGCGGGAAATGTGTTCTCGAAAATTCCGACAACAATACTGAGCTATATTTAACTGGACACGGAAGTGGATATATTGTCGATTCTTACGTTCACGAATATTCTACAACCTTGGAGAATTGGCGGGAGTTTCGCAGTACGTAACTAACACTGTAAGCTAGGTATGTTTTTAAATACATACTTAATCTAAACAACGTTCATAATAAAATAAATACATAACAGCAAGTTCGTTACAGTAGTGTAGAATTTGTGCACCCATTTCACTGCATTATGGCTAGATGCCATACAGAAACCATAAAAATAAAAAATCACTTTTATTTCTGCTGGTCTTCATTAGTGATTACTGTCATGTACCTAACTACTAGGATTAGCTAATCAACTTTGCTCTTGTCTTGAGTAGTGTCAATGATAATTTACCGAAATAGTGCTTCTTTTTCTCACTATTTATGCCTTTCACAATATAATGAGACAGTAGTTTAACTGCTTCGTTTGGTTTCTTGAGATGCTCTTCCAAAACCGGATCGTATTTACTCAATAACTCAACTAAAGGAAAACAACTGCCACAGTATTTTGGGGAAACTTCTTTCTTGTACTCTCTAAAAGGTAAATTTGGTATCACTGGAGTCAAAGTTACATTGATGATGTGTTCAAGAACTTGGTATTAACAAAATGCTTTGCTTTTACGTCGAATTTCTAGACATTCATCCAAATTACCATGAAATATCCACTGTTCATAAGGTACACAAGAATGAACTTTTGAATGTCCCTTGTTACATGCTGCCAGTCAGAGAACTCTGTAATCCAGAAATAAGGAAGACTGGTCTTCTTGTGATCTCCAAATACCCAACATGACTCACAATAACATTTGTTCAATGTTGGTTTGCAGCACAACCACGTCCGCTGTAATTCTTTAGAATTCATTTCGTAAAAGCAAGTAATAAATCCATGTCCTTTATCTCGACCATCAGCGTCATGTGCGAAATTCATCTTAAGCCGGGCTACATGGCCACATTTTCACAACAAAACATATATGTTCAGTATTTAAATTATCTTTAAAGTTTGATTTGCCGTTGGATACTCACAGTTCACGAAATCACTCTGTTTAGAATTTTTGATAATTATTATTTTCTTCCACATTACCACTAGTAGAGGGTTCTGACTGAATGTTGTCGGTTTGGGATTTGTTACTATCTTTGAGGCCTAACTGGTATTGAAGTTCAAAATCATAAAGTTAATTTGAGGTAGGCCCACTTACAACTTCTTTACTTGTCAAAAAATCAAACAAGTAAATCAAGGAAGATTTGCAATTTATATTTCTTTTTCACACGGTATCTTTGCCATTTTGTAATTCGAAACTACACAATGTTACAAGGCTACTATAATAAGAGTAGACAGTATCCACAAAACAAAACAAAATAACCCTAATATCACCGAAACAGATACACAGCACTCAGTAACCAAGAGCAGTAAAACAGGAAATCCAATTTATATCTTTTTTGTTTACTATGTAAAAAAAAGCATATTATTGTTGCTTTACAATCTAATCTACTTATTTGCTATTGTTTAATTAAATTTATTATTATATTTAAAAAAAAATCATGTAGTTTTTATAATAGAAAGAGGAACTTAAATACTTTTACTATAATATATTAACTGAAAAATAGTGTTATTGGTCAAAAATATATTGTTACGACAGCGGAAGTTGGGTGACTCTGGGAGCATGCACACTGGAGTTTCTTGAAGGATCATGAATTATCAAGTAATCCCGCGAACGTCCGAGTGTTTGCTAGAC